TCATCAGGTCACATGACCCGGAAGTTATATAGATTTTAATAATTAAAAAATTCATTAAAAATAGACAAAATCATATTTCCAAAATCCAAGTCGTGTAAGATGTGTGTCAGATGTGTGTGAAAATATTACAACTGGTGTGACGTCATCAGGTCACATGACCCGGAAGTTATGTAGATTGTAATAATTAAAAAATTACTTAAAAATAGACAAAATCATATTTCCAAAATCCAAGTCGTGTAAGATGTGTGTCAGGATTGTGTGACGATATTACAACTGGTGTGATATCTTTGGGTCACATAAGCAGGAAGTTATATAGATTTTAAAATTTTAAAAATGTATAATAGATGCACAAAATATATACATTTTAATTTGTGTACTATATGCTGCATGTATGTATAAATACATTGTAGGTGATTTGAGCTCTTTCAATAAAACAACCACATAGTTAAATAAATTTATTTCATTAAGATATTCAGTTTACTTACATATTTATAACAGATATAATAATCCTTTAAAAGTTAAAAATAATCTTAACCTATACTTAATTTATTTGCCAACATAAACTACACATGTAAAAGGATCACGGTTTTAGTGTTTTTTATGGAATAATGCACATATTTAATCAAATTTATTGTGGATTTTGCACTTTTGAGACACTCCCTAACTTGACGTGCGCAAGCGGAGATCGTTGTGAGGACCTTTTCACTTCAGAGGTTTAAAACAATTACATCATCAAATAATATTATTATTAATTTTAATATTATGTTTTTAAATGTGATCTGAACGAGATACAGCATGATCCATGACTACTATGCGATTACATATAAATTAATGCTGAAGTAAAGATCGAATGTCTAACGAATGTCCAACATAAAACCAACTTTACCGCACTCCAATACTAGGGGGTAATAATCAGAATTGGGCACAACACCGGTGTACCCTGATATCAGCATTCTGTAAGGTCATGTCACTGATCATGTCACATTTCAAGTCAAGTCACAGTTATTTGTATAGACTTTTATACAATACAGATTTTTAAATTAGCTTCACCAAAACAAACAGTGTCGCAAAATTAAATTCTAAAATGACTTAAATTTCAGCTGAAGAGCAGCTCTACAGAAGACAGTTTTCATTATTCAGCTTAATTTAGGTCAGTGTTGATTCCGTTTAGTTCAGTAATATTGTCAGTGTTGCAGTCCACCAAATTATAAAACAAATCGAATTCCGTTAGTAGATAGTATCATGAATAAAAAAGTAAACGAGTTCAATGTTGATTCAGTTTAGTTCAATGACAGAGGATGTTGCAAATGTAATCAAATATATATATCTTAGACATACTGACTTAAACTGACCCTAAGCAAAATAACATAAGCATAGTGTCCAATAATTATAATATTTGCTTGTTTGTTTTTAAGGGTTTGTATTATTTGATATGTAAACATTTAGTAGGATTGTGTGGTCTTAAACATATGGCAATGAAGGGATTCCCTAAAATTGTTGTTATTCTTCAAACTTTTTTAGACCGACCTGACTGACAAGCTCAACATCCTTGAGGTCAAAACTGACAAAAATCAGCAGGTTATCACACAGATGAAGGAGCAACAAATCAAATTAAAGGTTTGGAAATGTTTATTTTTCTTTTGGAATCTTTAGCAGAATCAGATGAAGGTACTGTAAGAGATGACAAGATGTGCATATACAGTTTTAACTATCACGTATGTCAGCATGTAGAGCTTTCATTTCCTTTGGTTTTGCTTTCCCAGGACCTAGCTGCAACCCGCAAACGTGTTCTTGAGTCTGAATACAGGCAGCTTAGAGAAATGATTGACCGAGATGAGAAAGAAGCCATGCTTGCTATCGATAAGGAACAGGAGAAAGGTCAGAGCAAACTGGTCTCCTTGATAAAGAAATTTAATGAGAACATCGAGAAGATGAGTAGGACCAAATCTGAGATCAACATTCTGCTGGACCAGTCGCAGTCACTAGAATTCTTAAAGGTGATGCAGAGTATGATTATGTGACCAAATGTTGAAATACATTTTTCATTTTTAGTACTGTTATTTGTGCCTTAGATGTATATATGATTAAATATTGTGTGTGAAGCCCAGTGCTGGTCTAGGATCTCTTACAAAAAGTAAGTCAATTCAAGATACGTAGATTGTATGTTTGTATTCTTGACTTTACCAATCTCTGTCACAGGCCTCTGTGGATTTGCCCTCTGTGGTAAATGTTGAGCCCTATAACCCTCGTATGAATGTGGAAAGTAAAGAGGTGATAGCTTATCATTCCTCTGCAGTTGCACTGAAGGAGTGGGTCACCAAATTAATGGAGCAGCCATTAGAAAACAGAATCTCTGTACTTAAACCAGGTGTGTAAGTGCAGAGCTTGTTTGCATGTTTTGATGTTTGTGTACAGCAACACCACACATAGTCATAGTCCGTGCTAAGAGTTCTGATATTCATATGTTTTTACAGAGTTTGAGAAATCTGTTCTTGGCGCAGGTGAGATTGTGTTTTGAAATAATTGGTGGGGAAATCTGGGACATACTAATCATATAAAGCATTTTATACAAGTGATTTTGTTGCCAGTTATATGTTGTTGAGATTATTCTAGGGCTGGGTGATATGGCAAAAAATAAAATCTTGATTTTGTTTTCTTCAGAACATTTGACCAATTCTCGATTTTTATTTGTATTTATTTATTTATTTACATTTAAGTCATCTTAAAAATGTAACTACATTTAACTAACATTTAAGTCACCTTAAAAAAATGTAACATGATTCAAGTAACATTCTCTATATTAACCATCTAATTAAAGAAAGCTCTATTCCAAGTGTACCCCACATTAAGGCCCCGATCAGACAGAATGCATTTTTGGAAGTGAGAGGTGCCTTTTTTAAAATTGTTTTCTATTGGCAGTGAGCGTTTTGTGTGCTGTTTATGCGCCCCGGGGGCCTCGCATTTTAGCCACCTGCTGTGCCTTGAGTTTTGTAGGAGCGCTCTGAACGCCCAACGTCATTTGCATTTTTTTCCATTGTCCAATCGAATTAATAGAGATCGTTGTGGTGATGGGAGTTTACATTAGCTTAGAATGTCCAGAGACTGCAATGATGGAGGAGAAACTTGTGGTGACTGTCGCAGGTTATCCGGAGCTGACTTCATGAATCACAGCTCCCACTATATTTAAAGTTTCTGCTAATATGGCAGTTTACTGCAAATCAAAGATTCTAGTGCGCTCGCGCTATAATCCTTGTTTAGACTGACAGGACAGCTGATTCAGTGGTTGGCTAGCAACATAAAAAAACTGCAGCGCACTGCACAGTCCGTTGCCCCATGCATTTTCAAACCTGAAAAACGCATTTTCTCTGATCGGGGCCTAAGTTGTCAACATGATATAAATGTAAAACAAATCACTTGTTAGATATATTTTTTACAGTAGAGATGCATGAAATATGAAGGCACTTATTGCACAAGCTTGTCTTAAACATGTATGTTAAGAAATAACACAAGAAATGCTAAAAAAAAATTCAAAATTCAAGGCAATTCAAAATCACTAAAAGTGTAAGACCAGTAGACTATTGTCTCGGTAGACTATTTCATGCAAACATGAAATATCAGACATAGTTCTTTACAGGTTTTTGCATTCCACTGCTCATTTTTTTTCTATATAAACATGCGCTTGATGGACACATTTGACCATTGCACTCGTATCTCTTGCAGCGCCTTGTGCATGAAACAGCATTCTAAAAACACAGTGCTCAAGTTATAAGAAGTTCAGCTCCCATCTCCTTGCATTTTTTCCTATTCCACTGCCCCTGTCATATCTTTTTCAATGCAAAAGCACAATCTGTGTGAATAGCACCTAGAAATATGTTCTGCTTACGGTCCTTCATAGAGTGCATCACACGTGAGCAATTAATCTCGTGCACCTTCATGCGGTCGGATCATTGTTTTCTCTTTAACTGTTATCATTAGCATATTGTCAACGTGTCTAATTCTAACATTTGGTAATATTTCTATTTACAGTCGTGATTCCTTGATTTATAAAAAATAAAATTGTGGCAAAACAATTTTATCAATTAAATTCAAATTAATTGATAAAATCAAAAAAATCGCCCAGCCATAGGGCCTTATTATTCTTAATAAAACTGCTGCCAGAAGATTTGAACCACTTCTCTAATCCTCTAGGTCTAGGAAACCAATTCCCAGGAATCCCAAGTGAGATTCCTGCCCTCCTGCCAAATCCAAGAGACATGTGTAAGTAGTAACTCCCATGCAACTGAATGGGCTTTTGTTGCCTCTTGATGTAGTATAACCTAAACCCATCCATTCATCACTATATTTTCTCATTCATTTTTAAATAATTTTTCTCCCAATGTTTCGGGGTAATTACATGAAATCGGTGCCTTTTCCAGTTGGAAAAATTAAAAGATAAAATAAGTTTAATTAACTTTTTTTTTTAAATATCCATGAAATGAAGACACCTTAAAATGACAGGAAATTGTATTGTGCCATCTTAAGCTAAGCAATTTATTATTTTACGACTATTTTTCTACCTCATGTTTTGGTATTTTTGTCAACCCTGTTACAGACACAAGCGTTACTATATACTATAGTTTAATTAGAACTATGTGATAGTTTTCACTTATATGAGCAGCATTTTAGTCCCTCTTTTCACTGGGATTTTCAAATTTTGGATTTTTAAAAAATATTTTTATATTTGTCATTCAGATGACCAAGAACATCCTAATTTTGGAGGGTGACCACATGTCAATTAAGAAAAAAAAATATTTTTACAAGAGAGATATTAAAAAAGGTCCAAAATAAAATATAGTTACAGTTACATTAAAAAAAACCTGGAAGGCTGTATCAAATATCATCTTTACAATTTTTATGAAGTTAATGACAGTAAACAGGATTGACGTCATAGTCACAGGCCTGACCAAAGTAACAGCGATGACAGGGCACACTTTCTTCAGCAATGAACCACTTCTCTAATCCTCTAGGTCTAGGAAACCAATTCCCAGGAATCCCAAGTGAGATTCCTGCCCTCCTGCCAAATCCAAGAGACATGTGTAAGTAGTAACTCCCATGCAATTGAATGGGCTTTTGTTGCCTCTTGATGTAGTATAACCTAAACCCATCCATTCATCACTATATTTTCTCATTCATTTTTAAATAATTTTTCTCCCAATGTTTCGGGGTAGGTAATTACATGAAATCGGGGCCTTTTCCAGTTGGAAAAATAAAAAAATAAAATGTTTAATTAACATTTTTTTTAAATATCCATGAAATGAAGACACCTTAAAATGACAGGAAATCGTATTGTGCCATCTTAAGCTAAGCAATTTATTATTTTACGACTATTTTTCTACCTCATGTTTTGGTATTTTTGTCAACCCTGTTACAGACACAAGCGTTACTATATACTATAGTCAGTGTTGGGGAGTAACTAGTTACATGTAATTTACGTAATTACGTAATTTAATTACAAAATAAAAGTAATTGTAATCAGTTACAGTTACTGAGAAAAAATATGTAATTAAATTACAGTTACTTATGAAAATGTTAAGGATTACAAAGGGGGTTACATCTGCTTTTTTCACACACACTCTCAACTCCCACATTAATTGATTTCGTTCATAAATTGCAGTGACTACTCTAAAATACGAAACAACAATGTTTCATGTTTCAGGAACAAGCTTATTCGATAACTCTTTTATTTCCTATATGGGTTTATATATAGCTATGCTTCATTTTTTAAAGATTAACAGTTTTTTTCCAAGGCATTGTTAGATTCCAGTGTTTACTGTCATAGCTATGTAAAGATTTGATTTCAAAAACGGTATCATAACTAATAAAATATTTATTGTTATGATTTTAAATATGTATTTAACCTCAGAATGATCTCAAAGTAAGTCTGATTTTGTGGTGGCTGTGCTTCATGTGCTTCAATGATCTTCCACAAGTTGGTATGATTCTTTAGGGTCTTCATGAACGATCTGCAACAAACTTAACAAACTTTTCCTCAGTGGTCGTGTAAAACAACACCCTTTTTACCTTGCTCTGTTCACAGTGACTCATTTTGGGGCATGTCCCTTTAAATGCTAATGAGCTCTGCTCACCCGCCCCTTTCTTCCGTGGAAGAGCAAAGGCGATTTGCAAATAATCATAAAAAATATAAAGTGTCAGACTTACTTCTGGAGGTGCAGCTGGATCACGAACAATGGGTACTGATCTATCCTTGAGTTTTGATGACAGAATTTGAATTTTTGAGTGAACTATCCCTTTAAACCTTGCATTTAAACAGGTCAGTTGTTCGCTTCTGTGTGTGTGTGTTGGGGAGTAACTAGTTACGTGTAACGGAATTACGGAATTTAATTACAAAATAAAAGTAATTGTAATCAGTTACAGTTAGAGAAAAAAATGTGTAATTAAATTACAGTTACTTATGAAAATGTTAAGGATTACAAAGGGGGGTTACATCTGCTTTTTTCACACACACTCCCACATACAGATTTAATTGATTTCTTTCATAAATTACATTGACTGCTCTAAAATATGAGACAGCAATGTTTCAGGAGTTTAGGACGTGCTTATTCAATAACTGTTTTATTTCCTATTTGGATTAATGTATTTGCTTTATTTTCCCAAGCCATTGTTAGATGCCAGTGTTTCCAGTCATAACTATGCAAAGATTTGATTTCAAAAACATTATCATAGCTGTTAAACTATTTCTTGTTATGGTTTTAAATATGTATTTAACCTCAGAATGATCTCAAAGTAAGTCTGATTTTGTGGTGGCTGTGCTTCAAAGGGGACATTGATCTTCCACAATTTGGTATGATTCTTTAGGGTCTTCATGAACGGTCTGCAACATACTTTGGTTAAAGTTCCTCAGTGGTTGTGTAAAACAAAACCCTTTTTACCTTGCTCTGTTCACAGCGACTCATTTTAGGGCATGTCCCTTTAAATGCTAATGAGCTCTGCTCACCCACCGTTTCTTCCATGGAAGAGCAAAGGCGATTTGCAAATAATCATAAAAAATATAAAGTGTTAGACTTACTTCTTCTGGAGGTGCAGCTGGATCACGAACACTGGGTACTGATCTATCTTTGAGTTTTAACTTTTTAACAAAACCTGCCTTGAAAATCAAAACGGCTTGATAATTGAGACTGTTTAGGATTTTGGGGGATTAAAAAAAAGGAGTGAATGGATTTTTATCATTGTAGGGTGGTTGTGTCCACACACTGCTAAGATACATTTATATGCAAACACCATGTAAAAGTGAATTTTGCATCCAATGTCTACTTTAAAATTTAAATATAATCTTAATTCAAGCGATGAAGGATTTCGAAAGTCTGACAGTAATCAGTTGAATACTACTGTAAGGTTAACCCTGCCTGGTTTACATGTTTGAAAATGATAAACAGTTGAAAACATTAGAAATTTAGAAAAGTAATCAAAAAGTAATCAAATGTAATCAGTTACATTACTTTAATAAAGTAATTGAAAAGTTACACTACTTATTACATTTTAAGTATGGTAACTTGTAATCTGTAACCTATTACATTTCCAAAGTACAAGTGTCAACACTGACTATAGTTTAATTAGAACTATGTGATCGTTTTCACTTATATGAGCAGCATTTTAGTCCCTCTTTTCAATGGGATTGTTTCAAATTTTGGATTTTTAAAAAATATTTTTATATTTGTCATTCAGATGACCAAGAACATCCTAATTTTGGAGGGTGACCACATGTCAATTAAGAAAAATATATATTTTTACAAGAGAGATATTAAAAAAGGTCCAAAATAAAATATAGTTACAGTTACATTAAATAAAACCTGGAAGGCTGTATCAAATATCATCTTAACAATTTTTATGAAATTAATGACAGTAACAGGATTGACGTCATAGTCACAGGCCTGACCAAAGTAGCAGCGATGACGGGGCACACTTTCTTCAGCACACTGCACATATTTGTTTACATAATACTGCAAAGTTTTACCATTTTAAATTGCATTATATTGTATTGCACTTACTTGGCATAGTTGTATTAGTGAAGTCAAGTCACCTTTATTTATTTAGTGCTTTATACAATGCAGATTGTCAAAGCAGCTTTACAGTGCTAAACAGGAAAATAGTGTCGATAACGTAGGAGGACAATAGAGTTCAGTTAAAGTCAGTTCATTGTTAATTTAGCACATTACATTTCTAAGAGCTATCCAAAGTTAAAACTAATGTTTTAAGGGTATTGTAACTAGATAATGTGTCCATCTATTTGTCTGTGTCCCCTCACAGAACTTAAAATACACTGATTTGGTTCAATTATTAGGCAAGGAAGATGATCAGATCTTGGTCTATCTGTGATCATCTGAAACCAGACCAAGATGTTGATGCTGAAATTTGGTTTTACTTTCTTGAACATTGCAAGACTGGGGTGAGGGTCTGCAGTCACCTTGCTGCTCTTGTTTGTAATTGAATTTACATGTATGTATTATTGACAGTGAGTTATGGGGGGAAAATATAATTTTATTGAGACTGATACTCTTATCCCAGTCATTAGTAACAATACCAACAATACTAACTAAAAATGTAACTGATGCTCATATGCCACTGAATGATATAGGTGTTAGCTCAATAATAAACCCAGGGTGACCTTTACAATATTTTAATTTTACACAGACAATCTTTAAAAACAGGGTGACACCTAATCTATGTCGTCCCTGTTACCCACATCAAAACATGTTACTCTGAAAAGTAACAGGGCTGACAGTAACAGGTTTGACGATTTCAAACTAATTTGCTCATTTCTAGCTAATAGTCAAGTTCACAAAAGCACGTTGTACACATTGAAAGGATGTTACTTGTAGATATTGGTTATATTAAATGTAAAAAATAAGTGTTTGAATTTACATTTTAAAAATGGTAAGAGTATTGACATTGCATGATACCCCCCCTCAGTCAAGCCTTATAAATCATCAAAAATGGAACATTATAGAGGAGTGAGAGAAACATGCTTCTGTCTTAAGTGTTGGAATCCTGAGAGATGTAACCTCCTAAAGTTACTGCCACTTGAATGTGCCATTATGTACACTTATGCCAAAAACATTGCTTAACAATGAAACTGTATTTAAAACGATATGCAAATGTGATTTTTATATAATTTTGCCTTTTTTTGTCAAATTAAAAGTCCTGCTGAAAAGAAAAATCATAGTGCGGGACAGGCCAAAAACCTTACCTTACACTTACCAGCATAAATGCTATTTAAGTTATTTAAAATAATGTTTAATTGACTTTAATTTGATGTCATACTGATGAAAGAATACATAATATTGCGGTTTTCAAATCACAAATTTAGTTGTTGTTAAATTAATTCTATGTTTGATTATTTCTTAGGGATGCAAAAAGCACCGATCGCGTGGTATGACCCTTCAGCACATTTGAGCTGTGGTCCCAAAGCCAAGGCTTCAGGAACTAAACAGAAAAATTCCAGTAAGTCAACTGCTTATATATTTTTTTAATAATATTTTGGAGCCATAAACAACACACATTAAAATGTACACCTTCCTCTCATTGTTCTTCTATTTCTTGATAGGCAAGACTGCTAAAGATCAGAAGGATCACAAAGAGCGCAAAGACCAGAAGCCAAACAGTAAGCTCTGACTACCCCTCCATGTGTTCATTATTTTACAACTGACTATTACTGTTTGCCTGATTACTGTTATGTGTGTTGAACATATTCACACCTAGTGATAAAAAGGAGGGGCCTGTGTTAGTTTATGTTTCACAGAGATTTTCTCAAATTGTTCTGAAAAGGAATGTGAATCAAATTAATATATCTTAGAAATGATTCTAACATTATATGTATATTCTCTTTGCCAGGATCTAGGAATCCTTCTAAAGGAGCAAATCCTGTTTTCTCCAAAAGCATGGAAAACTTGCTTGACATCACAGTTAAAACTGTAGACATACCTGACATAAGTATGTGGAAAAAGTTCTTCTTCAATCTTGCCCTCCAAAATTGAATCTTTACTGTAAGGGGTCTGTGCTCCAAAACTACACCATTTACTGTAATTCCAGAATAGACTCAGATGCTACTCTAGAAGCAGAAAAGAAATATATCAGACCAGGTGTTTTTAAATAATTGAATGTCAGGCAGGGGTGCAGTTCCCACACAACGAAGTAGTATTAATAATGTACATGTGTACTCTTCAAAAAAAAGGCACTGATTGTTGACACACTAAAATATATAGATTTGTGTGTGTATAAATACTGTATATACACACACACACATACAGTCAGGTCCATATATATCTGGACACTAACACAATTTTCCTAATTTTTGCTCTGTATGCCACCAGAACAGAATTAAAAATAAAACAATCAAGTTGAAATTGAAGTGCATTTTAATTTATTTCTTGACTGGATGTTGTGAAAGGGTTTTTCTTTACCATGGAGAAGATCCTCCGATCATCCACCACTGTTGTCCTCCGTGGACATCCAGGCCTTCAAATGCAAATGGCACACTTAGAATCAACTCTAGTCCTTTTACCTGCTTAATTGGTGTAGAAATAATGAAAGAAAAGCCCACGCCTGTCCATGAAACAGCTTTTGAGTCAATTGTCCAATTACTTATGGTCTCTTGAACAGGGGGGGAGATACATATTAAAGAGCTGTAATTCCTTAACCTTTCGTCCAATTTTGATGAGAATACCCTCAAATTAAAGTTCAGAGTGTGCACTTTAAGCCCATATACATATAACTGTAAGTTGAATATGTTTTGGTCCGCAGCTAAAATAATACAAATTGTGCATGTGTCCAAATATATATGGACCTGACTGTATATATATATACACAGTATCTCACAGAAGTGAGTACACCCCTCACATTTTTGTAAATATTTTATTATATATTTTGATGTGACAACACTGAAGAAATGACACTTTGCTACAATGTAAAGTAGTGAGTGTACAGCTTGTATAACAGTGTAAATTTGCTGTCCCCTCAAAATAACTCAACACACAGCCATTAATGCCTAAGCCGCTGGCCACAAAAGTGAGTACACCCCTAAGTGAAAATGTCCAAATTGGGCCCAAAGTGTCAATATTTTGTGTGGCCACCATTATACACCGGCCCTCCAGGACCGAGTTTGGACAGCCCTGGTTTAGACATTAATGGCTGTGTTTATTTTGAGGGGACAGCAAATTTACACTGTTATACAAGCTGTACATTCACTACTTTACATTGTAGCAAAGTGTCATTTCTTCAGTGTTGTCACATGAAAAGATATAATAAAATATTTACAAAAATGTGAGGGGTGTATTCACTTCTGTGAGATACTGTATATATGTACATTTGAGCATGATCTAAGAAGAAACTATGCTTCTAACCACAGGTTGAGAGCTATAGTTCCATCACGCATGTTTGTGACCCTGTTTGCAAATGTTTGAAACAATGGTTTCATGAAACAGCAAATTGTTGAATTTTGTGGGTAGCGACAGAAGAGCCATAGTTGGCTAACAGTGCTATTAGGAAATGCACCCCCGATTGTTTGGATTTGTTATACTAATGCATTAATAAAATGAGTGAACCTTTCATTCCCTTTGGAGGCAATACATTAGTGGTTTCTGAAAGCTTTTTATTTCCTCTTTCTCTCATTACAGATCCACCTGCTATTTCACCAGCTGTGCTAAACTTTGTTAAACGAAGTGACCTTCTTAAATGTGAGTTTGACATAGTTTCGATTTTATCCACTTGTTCATGTTCATCACCTTTTACATCTATATGCATGGGTTTCTTTTGTCTAGATGGCACTATCCTCAATTTTGACGTCAGAACAGCTCACAAGCGGATCTCGCTGTCTGAAAACAACACCAAAGCGACAGTCTCGGACGACCCAGCTCATTATACAGATATTCCCCTTCGCTTTTCTGTCTGTTCCCAGGTGCTCTGCACAAAGGGTTTCTCTCAGGGCCGTCATTATTGGGAGATCAAAATGAGCAGTAACAACTTCTGCGGATTGGGACTTGCATACGGACGAATTGACCGCAAGGGTCCCTCTAGCCGTCTGGGGCGTAATGCAGACTCCTGGTGTGTGGAGTGGTTTAACGTGAAGCTTTCTGCATGGCACAACAGCATCGAGACGGTGCTGCAGAATCCCAACCCAAGCCGCGTGGGCATCTTGCTGGACTGTGATCAGAGAAGTGCAACATTCTATACTGTGCAGGACCGGGCCTACCCTTTCCACACATTTGTCTTTCCTTTCACTGAGGCTGTGTATCCCGCTTTCTGGATCTTCTCAAATGGCTCTTCTGTCTCTTTGTGCAAGCTCAGCAATTGAAAGTATCTAAATTGAACTGATACTCATTTTAATGAATTGAAGTTTTGTTTATCTTTGGAAGAAAAATGTAGATATTTTTTATATACTGTCATCTGTGTCCATTCAGTGAGTCCACACAACCAGAATGTTCAAGCTTCATGAAATCTTTGAAGGATTTTCAATAGATGGGCAAAAATAATTACGGTAAATTAAAAATATCTTCATTTTTGTTCCAAAGATGATTAAGTCTTTTGAAACGGGTTTGAAATGACAGGAGCATGAGTAACAGATGACAGAATATTAATTTATGGGGTTTAATCAAGCCAGGTTTGATGCAAATAAACTTTTTAATTCTAATTTAGGTGTGTTGTGACTGTACAGAATGCATAAAGCCGTCTTAAAGCAGTTTTAATCTATAAATGTCTGGGTAATGTCTTTACATGTTGACCAAAAAAAAAAAAAAGATTGATGGATGATATCTAAAGGCTAATGCAGTCCAACTGTCACTAAATAAACCTCAATAAACTATTATAACTATTATATGGCTACGTACCAAATAAAAGTAAATTAATTATTGATTTAGTCTGAAATTACTTTCAAGAACAAGACTGCAGAAGTGATGCAAGAGACACTAGCTCAGCTATGCTGAAAATACTTAAATTGAAAACAGCACAAGACAACACTCAATCGAATCGTTTAGTGGTCATTATTCAAAAATGTTTGACTTAATTGCTATGATTGACGTCATTGATCCAGAAAAGGGAAATTTCAATGTACATATGTGGTTTGCAAATGTTGACACATTATTCTTAATTAATCTTACTTTGTTCTGTGAATTGTGTTATTTTGGCTGATTTTACTTGCGAGTTGTTTGAAGTGTTTAACTTCATCACATGATCACACTTGACATTTGTTGGTTTGATCACATGGGCAAAGTCCACTGGCAGTGTGCTCCAGATAGAGTTGTATTGGTTCTTGATCAAAGTATCCTCGCCGGGTCCAGTCAGTTTTTAATTTAAGCATGTGCAATTCTGTCAAACCAACAAGTGTTAAATGTGTGTTAAAAATGTTAATAGTGAAAAGAAAAGTTTAGTAGTAAGGCATTTATTGTTTGCTTTATGCAATATTACAATTTTGGTTGATACATCATATAGAGTGATTATTTAAAAAATGTAAATGAAAATATTGTACATTGTTGGGGAGAAAAATATACATAAAGTAAAATATCAGAATGATACCAATAAAAGCATTACATGACCAAGTCTCGTATAAGAATAAATATAACATCATCTAGATTTATTGTTCTTTCTTTCTCATCTTCTGTTGTATTGATCACATTTGTGAAATTATGTTATGACTTAATCCTGCTCCTGTAATGGTGATTGTTCATTTGTGCAGTTCACATTGTTTTCAGTGCTGAACAATAAAAAAAATATATATAATTACAATAAAAAAATAAACTACATTTTTGACCAAGGAATTCTTTATGTTCTAACTTAATTAAATGTTTTGGCTCAATCGTCTCCAGCTTGTAATACATGTTGGTATGTTATCTGGATATACAAACACGCCTAGTTACACATCAAACACAATGCCAGGAGCAGCTACTGTCAAATAAAAACTAGGCTTCATTTGAGTTTGAAAAACAAGACATAAGCCATGGGTGTTAACCTCGTGTCATGTTTCTAGCGTACAGAAGTCAGTGCAAAATATTTCAACCTTCAATATTCAATACAGAGAATCCCATTTCATCTAACACTCGCAAACGTTTAAAATGATCAACTATCAGTACTCCCAAGGAGAATAATATTCATTTAAAACCCCTTTGACATATTTAGAGCATGTGTAAAAAGAAAAAAGTGCAATTACAGTTGTAAAGAAAAAATGTTTTCATCAGTATTTATACACAAACATATTCGAAAGTAATTTTTAATGACACTAATCAAAAAACATCACAATTTTGATTTTATCCTTTCTCAAGGTATAGAAGCATTCTCAAGTTTTCAGACATTACTAAACTTTTTTTAATAAAACTAATACAGCAGTCTACATTTTGATGTACAACTGATAAAGATAATTTAACGCGAAAATATTCAGTCTTTGAGATAAAATGATACATACTTTTGGTAACACTTGTAAACCTTTTAGCTTCCAAAAAAGTATCAAAATCTCCTTCAAAATTATGTATGAAAACTGGCTGCCATCTAGATTAGTTCTCTTTAACAATCTGTAAGGTAAAATCACTCTGAACATGAAATGAACTAAACCAAACTATAAACTGCTCAAATACATTACATCAGCAAAACCTCATATTAATCAAAAAAGGTTTTAATGGCTAATATGTCTAACTCCTGCAAAGAGAGGTGACACTAGTTCAGGGAGAGTTACCATTAGGAAAGCCACAGATGTAGATATAATTATATGAAACTTATTACATACATTACATACTACCACTCCACAAGCTGTTTTTGTTTTCTATCCTGTCCTAGTTTTTCAAGAACATTACTGTTCTTATGCTACAACTGCACTGAAAGCAGAAAGACTTGGAAGAGTGGGACTAAAGAAAATACTCAGAAACCCTGTAAGGGTGGTTATATTCTAGGCAAAGTAAATTTTACTAAAGCAGGATGCATAAAATCATGAATCTCTATGGAAATGTGAAGAAAATAAACAATGAATAAAACAATAAAAATGCCTGATAATCAGCATATGTGAACAACAAAATAAAGAACGGTATCTTAATCCAGTGCTCTGAAACCTTTTACTGCCATTTCATAAACTAAACCAATAACACACGTGGAACAGTTGCAAAATAATAAGATATCAATGGCACACCCATTCACAATCTACTCTAGATTCAAGCAGTACAATGGTGTTTCACAAAAGACGTTTACAAAACATAAGGACCTAAACAAAATTATTGCACAGCTTCATTTACATATACAACTCAAATACAAGATTTCTGCAGTGAGTTGTATTTTCACAGACCTATGGCACTCAAGATCAGTGCAAAACATTTGTGTCCAAGCAGCTTTGTTTGTAACATTCTCCACTGGACTGAATTTTATTTTTTATGATTGCCTGAGCTCTGCTTACAGCTAAATATGATTCCATTGTGGACTAAATATCTAAAACCTGAGCCATTCCTAGAGCTTCTGGGTAGCACTCCCTGGGAGAAAAAAAAAAATTATGCACACAAATTTACAAACCTGTTTCAACAGAGATAGACACCTTGTGGGCAGTTTGAGAACTGCAGGAGATGTGCTTGAGCGAGAAAGGGGCTTTTAAACTCTCAGAAATAACCACTGCAGATGTTATTACTAGAGCAGCACATGCACATTATGTACATTTACATTTATGACATCAGGGTGTCTTCCTTTCATGCTGTGCTACTTTCTGGGGTGGAAATAGCACAGACAGAATGATTACAGCCTTACTAAGACACTGTCACAGTTTCCTGTGTGTTGCTAGCTGTGTCAATGTGATCGGCTGAGGGTTCTTCAGCCTCTGAGGCGCTGGAGTCATCATCATCTGTGTGTTCTGCACTGTGGTACAGCATGAGGGCCTGGGTCTTATGGGTAATGGTGATGGTGCATGGACCTTGCGCCCACGGCTCTCCATCCACCTGCATTGGCATCCGAGAACTCTTCAACACCAGCTACCACAAAAAAGCAAAGGATAAAGAGTCACCTTTATTCATACAGTGAATTACGCAATACGTATCATTTCAAAGCAGCTTTACAGTATTAGGAAATAACAGAATCAGTGATTCAAATTTCTTCAAACGTGAAAAAAAATCTAATTCTTCTTTCAAGTAGCTATAAACACAATAGTCATTAATCAGCTCGATTCGGTTCAGTGTTGGTTCAGTTCAGTTCAATACCAATGTTTATGTTGTAAAATTCATCAAATTATGAATTGAGATCAAATCAAAAGCAGCTTTAAAGGGGTCATATGATGCGATTTCAAGTTTTCCTTTCTCTTTGGAGTGTTACAAGCTGTTCGTGAATAGATAAGATCCCTGACGCTGCAAAGACTAAAGTCTCAAAACCAAAGAGATATTCTTTATCAAAGTTAAGACTCTGCCACGCCCCCCTAAAACGGCTCGTTCTAACACGCCCCCACATATCTACCTCACTATGTGGGAATATTTGCATAATGCGCCCAAATGTGCACGCAAAGAAAGAAGGCGTGGTTTCAGTAACCGCAGTTAGTGTTGAAGCAGCATCTTTAAAAAAGCATCATATGACCCCTTTAAAGAAGGCAAAAGTGGCATAATTCAGCTCAAGTCAGTTCAATGTTGAATCAATCCTGTTCAATAACAGAACATGTTGCAAAATTCATCAATCATGAAACATTTATTTAGGCTATAAAGCAGCTCTACAGAAGACAAATGAGTCATTATGCACCTCAACTCAGTTCAAGATTTGTTCTCATCTAATATCGCCAGCACCGATTTGTGGATTGCTATTATTCAGCATAGAGGTCTTCACAGGCATTACATTACATTACATTAAATTTAGTAATTTAGCAGACACTTATCCAAAGCGACTTACAAATGAGGACAATGGAAGCAATCAAAATCAACA